TACCTTGTATTCTCTCCTTAACTGGTATGTCCTGATTCAATTTAAATCCCAAAACTATGTGTTTCTTTGTTGCTACAGTTCATTAGTTGTGATTCCCAGTCCTGTTTACTATTCTACTATCATGTGCAATATGTAATCATCATGCTTAGATTTATACTACCTGATTACTGTATCACTCAGCATGCTTAAGTTTGTTTTGTTAAAAGCTGTAATTAGTATACTGCTTATCATGCCCCAATCCTGCTTTAGATAATTGCATGAACCCTGTCTGTTCACTAGTATGTTTAAGCTGCATTGTTTGATTAATGTCTCACTCATGTGTATTGGTCATGGTTAAATACCTATGTGTTCTCAGCATGTCTTTGTAACTAACTTGTCAATTCCATGACTTCTTGAAGAGTCTGTGTATTTGTCTGTTGTTAATAAGGTGCATTCTATGAGTCCCTACCCCTGTCTCCTTGTGTGAAGTCTGCTTGCAAAAAATGTCTTCTGAGGCTGTTCTGAGACTGGTATGCTGATTTCAAAATATTCCTTTTTATATTTTTCCAACTACTGTTTTACTCAAACCAGTACAGGTTTTCAGAAAACTCTTTCTTTCCTAAGACCTTCCTTGTACTGTTTACTAAACTCTTTCAAATCATTATGCACACTCACATTACTTTTAGATTACTAGGTTCCGCCCCTCTGATATGTGTACTGCCTTGAGACCCTTGAGATCTCTCTGAACTCTGGCATATCAAGGCTGGCACTTCCACACTGCACATAATCAGTCTTTGTTTGAGGAAAGTCTGGGTGTGAGCACTGCCCGGGATCCTTGAGATCCTTAGGGAACTCTGACACACCTAGACATGAATTAGGCTATGGAACTTTGGGCATTTGAGAACAGTAAAGGCTTGGTACACCATGACTGTTTTTGGCCTGCTTCAGGCTCCCTATAGCTTAGCTTCTATTTTTATGTAATTTATATTCAGTTTTTGGTCTATAATAATTATTGTAAACAAACATTGGGGTGATTAGTGAAAAGAGTGGGTAGTCATATATTGTGGGTAAAGTTGGGTAGATAACATGCCTATAGGATCTACTTTGATAAGTTCTACTTGCTTTACTTCCACAAATTAGAAGCCATGCCTATAGGATCTAATTCAGCTTTTAATAATTAGATAATATGCCTATAGGAGTTAAAATCGGTTCTAATAGAAATCATACCTATAGGAGTTAAAATCGGCTCTAATAGAAATCATGCCTATAGGGGTTTCACTTTGGTTAAATTAATGCTGTTTGTTTCACCTTGTTAATTAGAAATCATGCCTATAGGACCTAAAATCGGTTTAGTTCGATCTAAAAAAATCGGTTTAACTTATGTTTACAGATTCTAAATCGGTTTAATGTTCTAATCTGTTCGTTTCTCTAATGAGTTTTCAACGCTGCCTTAATTAATACTACTAGAGAGCATGCCTATTGAATCCAAATGGCCCGTTTGAATTTGCTTATTGTTTTACTGCATTCCTGATCAGTGATTAGATACCATGTTATTACACGCCTAGGCAAACCTGTAAGGCGACTAAAATTTTGCGAACCTGTAAAACTATGTTCTATTATCTGTGACTGCTCACATTCAACAGGTCTAAAATCAGTAGGCAAGTTGAATAGGTCTTTGACACTTTGGTCCTAATTCGATACTGTATACTCTCTGCTCACCTAGATATCATGTTCTAAGGTTTCTCTCTTAAATACCTGAAACAGTTGTTTGAGACGTGCACTTATTTGTTCTGCTTGTGGAGGTAAAATGTGAGCCTTTAATTGTTCCCCCCTTTAAATGCAGTCCTAATTGTTTTGGTTGACGCTTAGAATTTTCTCCTTTAAACACCTTAGGATGGTCTAGAACTACCTAAATTAGAGGTCCTAAATACCTCCAGGGCCACAAGGAAGGGACGGGTAGAGCACGCATAGGATATCTTTCAAGGTTGCTAGAACGCTTTAGGCTATGACTAAGGGGAGGGAATTGGGTAGTAAAGATATGATGACTACGCGCTAATGTCACGTGTAGCCCCTCATTGAGGAGTGATTACCAGGCATTGCGTGGGTATGATCCTGTAGGCTAACCAACCTAGGACCCCCTTTCCCAACTCCCGTTATTTAAATGAATTTACTTTTCTTTATATATGTGCAACTGGTTCAAACATTTTCCCTTGTTTCATTACTTGAACTATACATATTCTTAGAATGTCAAAACAGGCCTTTACTTGCAAGTACGTGTTAAAATTGTTTACTTGTTCAAATGACTGATTCATATAAGTTCGGCCGAGACCCACCGTTGTGGACCGCGAGGGGTGTCTAACACCTTCCCCTCAAGGTTATTTCGAGCCCTTACCCTAATCTCTGGTAATGCAAACTAGTCCATGAGTTAATTGCTCAAGGTTCCCTAACGCACCGTAATCCGTTAGGTGGCGACTCTTCAAATACCCAATTACCAAAAGGAAAAGAGTTGTTCCCCCATGAATGTCGAAACCCGGACGTTCTCCGCGAGGAGGAAAAAAGGGGGCACGACAGACATCTGGTAGCGAATCAGATCACTCACATTCACCCGTTGACCCATTATGAGGAAGTAGAGCACACAAGTCCTCTCACGGCTAATGAGCGTGTCATGATTGCACGGTAGGAGCCGTGCATTTATCAGTTTAAGCCACACTTGAGCCTCCGCCCTCATCTTCCTCTTGGGGAATCTCCTGTGCCGATTTGTTTTCTTATCCTAGACCCATGCTGCCGTAGAATTGACACCACAAAGCGTGTGTCTCAGCTCTCTATATGTAGGCCCGGGAATGAAGTAGTCCAATGGCTCTACAGGAACATCCGGAGCACCTAAAAAGTTACATATGACCGTGGCTGAAAAGTTTATCAATCGTCCACGAATCGGCACCAGCTGTTCAGTATCCTCTGGATCAAACCCAGCATAAAATTCACGAACTAGATTGAGATTAATATCCCATGTGTTCTTGAATACATAGCTCAACACCAAATCATGGATGCCCCTCAAAATTTCCTGGTACTTTGCTTGCAGGCGGCGTTTATGGATAGCAGCTTCCGGATGTACATGTTTTGGCCTACAGCGCCTGTACCAATCCTTAGTATGCGAGGGTATGCTTTTGATGCCAAACTCTCATTGGCCTTGAGGTTGGGGACGCATGGCTACTATAGCTGCCACAGCTTGTGCTCCTTCACCTTGGCTAGACGTAGCTTCTCCCTATTTCGCTTCTTTGGGGGAGGTGCGGAGGTGGCCTTCGCCTTAGGTGGAGCAGTGGAAATAGCCTTTCCTTTGCCTATGTTTTTTCTCGGAGGCATATTCTTTCCTACACAAATAATCGTTGATCAGTTAAAACTGCATTACAACATTAAACACATAGTCTTGCCACCCCACACTTAAGAGTTTCACATGATTTGCACAAATTTTCGAGGTTACTCAGACTTCACCTCGTATTATCTAAGCATGAGAATCAAGCAATGACACATGGGTGCTTCCTCCAAATTTGAAGCCTCAGGCTACCGGTGAGCCACCCCACACTTAAGATTTTAAAGTGGTGGTTGACTACATAGCACTAGTCTTAAAAACCCGGAGACTCGGGATCCAATGGGGACAAAGAATGCCTTAGAGGCATTATAACAAAAACTTAGCATACACTAGTGCCATGGGAGTGCTTGTACGGGTGAGGGATTGCCTCACCCGCCCAAATCGGATTGGGAGTTTCGTACCACCACGTGTTCATACAATGGCAACACCATTCCTATGGGGTTCATGGAATTGGGACAAAAACACATTATTACAATGAAGAACAACCCCAAATTTTTGTGGCTAATTTCATACCTTCATCCAACTCGAAATTGCAAAAGAAAGGAGATAAAAATCATACCTTAGTTGTTTGAAGAGGAGATATTTGCCTTTGAACTGCTGTTGCAAGTGAAGGAACTAGGAGAAACTTGTTTGACTTCAATGGAGTTGGGAGGAAGAGTGATGGGCAGTGCTGTGTGAGTGTGTGAGGGGGAGGGATTTTCGTTTTGAGCAGTGATGCGCGTGAGGGATTTTCTTTTAAGCAGTGATTTGCCTTAGATGTGTATTGATGTGTGTTTGATTTAGGTTAGGGTTTTAATTTGTTCAATTTTTGGGCGTGTAAGTGAGGGGGTTAGAGTAAAATAAGGGACCAAAAACTAAAAACAAGCCCGAAATTCCTTACATGGCGATGCTTGCTGTTTACCTTGCCCTAGCCCCCGCGACGCGAGCTCAGACACGAGCTAGAGGGCCTGGGGCACGAGGCTTGTCGCTTGGTCCATCTGGCCTTTTCCTATGCGACACCAGATATAACGCGAGCTTCAGCTCGCCCCAACCCACGCGAGGTGAGCTTTGTCGCCAGCTACACCTCGCCTCAACCCTCGCGAGGCGAGCTCCCCCGCCTGGTTTCCTTCATGCGACGCTTAATGCCCTGCTCGACTTGTCCAAAATTACCTGCAAACTTGTTAGTACCTAAAAACGAAAAGAAAAATTCTAACTACACTAAAAGTCAACTACAAATTGGGTTGCCTCCCAACGAGCGCCGTAGTTAACGTCACGGCACGATGAATACAACATTACAATGGGTTGCCTCCCATGAAGCGCCTGATTTAACGTCGCGGCACAACGCAGGTAATCGCACTTAAGGCTTGCTCAAACTTGTTGGCTCGAACAAATGAGTCACTGACACTACTTTCGCGTCATCCATACCTAAATAATGTTTTAACCTGTGCCCATTGACTCAAAATGTGAGAGAGTCATTTTTTGCAGCAATCTCTGCGGCACCAGTGGGGTGAATCCCTACCACACGAAATGGTCGTGACCATCATGACTTTAATTTGCCCGGAAATAACCTCAATCTTGAATAGTATAGCAATACCATATCTCCGGGTTCAAAACTCCGCTCAAGAATATTTTTGTCATGCATCATCTTCATTATCTCCTTGTATAGTCTTGTGCTCTAAAAAGCGTGGTAGCGAAACTCATCAAGCTCATGCAACTCCGTGACTCTACTTGTACCTGCAGCTTCTATATCGAGATTCAGCTGCCTCAATGCCCACAAAGCTCTATGATCCAACTCCACTGGTAAGTAACACGCCTTCCCAAACACCAATTTATATGGAGACATGACAATCAGAGTTTTGAAAGCGGTACGATAGGCCCAGAGTGCATCATCTAACTTTCTCGTCCAATCCGTTCTTGTAGCATTCACAGTCTTTGTCAAAACGGTCTTTATCTCTCTGTTCGAAACTTCCACTTGCCCACTCGTTTGTGGATGATATGGGGTGGCAACCTTGTGGCATACATCATACTTTTCTAACAACTTTGCCAAGGCTCGATTACAGAAGTGAGTGCCTCCGTCACTGATTATTACCCTTGGAGTGCCAAAACGGGTGAATATATTCTTTCTCAAAAAAACAATTACCTCCTTTGCATCATTTGTAGGGAGCGTTGCAACCTCCACCCATTTTGACGCATAGTTCATATCTACGAGTATGTACTTGTTTCCATATGAGCTGACAAATGGCCCCATGAAATCGATTCCCCATATATCAAACACTTTTACCTCCTGAATTGGGTTCATAGGCATCTCATGTCGGCAGGAAATATTCCCGATTCTTTGGCATTCATCACAACCCTTTACCCATAAATGTGCATCTTTGAACAATGTCGGCCAGTAGAAGCCCGACTCCAACACTTTCGCAGCTGTCCTTACTCCCCCCGAAATGGCCACTATATGGTGACGCGTGACACGCCTGCAAAATAGAAGATTGGTCTATCTCGGGGATACATCTCCGGATCATGTTATCAACACAAATCATGAACAGATAAGGCTCATCCCAATAATACATGCGACAATCACGAAAGAACTTTTTCTTTTGAACCGAGGAAGGTCATAGGGAACAATACCGCTCGCCGGGTAGTTTGCAATGTCTGCATACCATGGCGCTACCTCAAGACTCGTGGCTAATAGTTGTTCATCCGGGAAAGTCTCCGCAATCTCTTCCACCTTAACCTTCTTCTCGGCTCCTTCCAGCCTTGACAAGTGATCAACCACTTGGTTCTCCGTACCCTTTCGGTCATGGATTTCCAAGTCAAATTCTTGCAGTAGTAGCACCCATCGAATCAGGCGCGGCTTTGAATCCTTCTTCTCGATTAAGTACCTGAGAGCAGAATGGTCAGTATAAACCAATACCTTCGAGCCTATCAGGTATGACCTGAATTTATCAAATGGGAACACCACTGCTAGCATCTTCTTCTCAGTCATTGTGTAATTTAGTTGGGCACCACTCAACATTCTACTTGCGTAGTATATTGGATGTGTTGTCACCAGCCTCTTCTTCAATTCCTCAAAAGCTACCCTGCAATCATCAGAAAACACAAAAGGGTGATCTTTTTCAAGCAATTTACACAAGGGGTTAGCAATTTTGGAGAAATCTTTTATAAACCGTCTATAGAAGTCAGCGTGGCCAAGGAAACTTCTTATTGCTTTGAAGGAAGTGAGTGGTGGAAGTTTTTCTATCACATCAACCTTTGCACGATCTACCTCAATGCCATTACTCGACACTAGGAGCCCCAAGACTATACCTTCCTGTACCATGAATGGCACTTTCCCAATTGAGTACAAGATTAGTCTTGACACATCTTTTCAGCACTCTTTTCAAATTCTTTAGCAATCATCGAATGAGTCTCCCACCACCGAGAAAGCATCCATAAAGACCTCCATGATGTCCTCTACCATATCAGTGAAGATGGCCATCATGCACCTTTGAAATGTGGCGGGTGCATTGCATAGGCCGAACGGCATCCTCCGGAAGGCATAGACGCCGTATGGATAGGTGAATGATGTTTTCTCTCTATCTTTCGGGGCAATAGAGATTTGATTATACCCTGATTATCCATCCAGAAAGCAAAAGTAAGACTTCCCAGCCAATCTATCCAGCATTTGATCAATGAACGGCAAGGGAAAGTGGTCTTTTCGGGTGGCCTTGTTCAATCTTCTGTAGTCCATACAAATTCGCCATCACGTGAGTGTTCTTGTTGATATCAACTCATTGTTCTCATTTTGCACTACAGTCATCCCATCTTTCTTAGGTACACATTGGACTGGGCTGATCCAGTTGCTGTAGGAGATGGGGAAAATGAACCCCGCTTCTAACCACTTTATCACCTCCTTTTTCACAACTTCCTTCATGTTGGGGTTTAGCCTTCTTTGATGTTATCTGGAAGGTTTGTGGCCATCTTCCAGCAGAATCTTATGCATACAGAAGGCCGGGCTGATACCCTTAATGTCTGCAATGGTCCAACCAATTGCAATTTTACACTCACTCAATACCAGCAAGAGCTGTTCTTTCTGCACATCTAACAAACCAGATGAGATAATAATAGGTAAAGTTGAGTTAGGTCCCAAGAAAGCATACCTGAGATGAGGTGGTAGCGGCTTCAGTTCCAACTTTGGTGGCTCTTCTATCGATGGCTTAGCTGGAGGAGTTTTTCTTTCTTTTAAGTGAAAAGGCTCAAATTCGAGCTCTCTTTTCCAAAACCCTTGGCCTTCAAGAGCCAGCACCCATTCTGCCAAGTCCTCTCTATTTGCTTCATCTAAGTTCATGAGACAGGCTGCTAGAGGGTCTTTAACGTTCAAGGTCTCATCTTCCTCCTCCAAAATTACATCCACAACTTCTATTAGAGAGCAATTAGCAAATTCACTTGGTCGCCACATAGACTTTTGCACATTGAATGTTATCTCTTCATCATTTAGTCTCATTTTTAGCTCTCCAGTCTCACAATCAATTAAAGCTCTCCCAGTGGCCAAGAATGGTCTTCCCAAAATTATGGGAATCTCCTCGTCAACCCGGCAGTCTAGAATGACAAAATCTGCTGGGAACACAAACTTCCCAGCCTGTACTAATACATCATCAAGGATACCAGAGGGCATCTTCGCTGTTCGATCGGCTAGCTGTAGTAACATGGACGTGGGTCTAGCTCTTCCAATGCCAAACCTGTTGTATATAGCTAAGGGCATCAAGTTTATGCTTGCCCTCAAATCACACAATGCTTTAGCAAAAGCATAGTTGCCTATCGTGCATGGGATTGTGAAACTCCCTGGGTCTAATAACTTCTCAGCTATGGGTCTCGTCACAACTGCACTAGAAGTCTGGGTCAATGTAACAATGAATAGGTCTTGGAAGTCGAACTTGCGAGATATTAAATCTTTTATCATTTTGGCATACCCAGGCATCTCCCGCAAAGCGTCAATCAGTGGAATGTTCACCTGTATTTGTTTCAACATCTCCATGAATTTCTTATATTGCTCGTCCTTCTAATATTTGGCCAATCTCTGTGGGAATGGTGCTGGAGGTCGCTTCTTTCTTGTGATTTGAGTTTTATCTTGCTCAAGCACTGCTTCTACTTTCGTTTCTTATGCTACCTCAGTCTCCTTCGCAACCTCTTTTTCTTTGCTTGTGCTCTTTTGTGCCTGTTGTACCGTCACCTCAGTTAATCCTGTTGAATCATCTATCTCAATGGATACTGGCGCAAGTGTTTCAGTAGGTCGGCTTTCACGAGCACTTTCTTGCTCCAGATCTAAGTCTCTACCATTTCGTAGACTCACTGCCATAAGCTGTTTCGGGCCCTGCTCTTTTGGATTGATTTGCGTGTTTGCAGGTAATGTCACTTGGGGATGATTATTTAGAGCCATCGAAATCTATCCTAACTGAATCTCAATACCTTTTATCTATGATTCATGTGAGTCCACTCTCTCTTGCATTTTTCCAGTGGACCCAATCAGTTGTTGCAGCATTCTGTTGTTGGTGTCCAGCATTCCCTTAAGTTCAGCAAACCTATCATCTTGTCTTACGATCGTTGTTGTTGAGGATGTTGATAAGCCAGCTGCTGATTTTGCTGGTTGTGACCCTGTTGCCTTTGATAAGGCACCACTTGACCCTGTGGTCGCATAGCTCCAGGATTGTTGTTGTTATTGTACTGCTGCTGTACCGGTCTATATTGTTGATTATGTTGTCCCCAATTCTGACCACTTTGCCTCTATCCCCCACAGTTGGCTACATAGTTCATATCTTCCTGATAGTGCTGGTTGTCACCTTCCGCACTCCACGAGCATACATATGGTTGGTTAATGCATGGTGTAGATAAGCCCCCCATTAGTTGCGTCAGCTATGTGTACCTGCTGCTTCTGGCCTGATTCATTGATCTTTTTGGTGAGGATACTCATTTGCGTCATTAGAGTGGCCATATTTCAGCTATGAAGTTGTTTGGGTCCAAAGCCACTGAGTGAACTACATGAGTGATCGTAGAGTCTCTTGTCATCCATCCTGAGTTTTGGGCCATCTTATCAAGTAGGATCTTGCATTCTCTGAATGTTTTGCTCAAAGATGCTCCACCTGCTGAAGCATCAACATTGGCCTTTAAGCCGTCTGCCAGTCCCATGTAGAACCTCTGCCCCAACATCTGATCTAGAATGCTATGATATGGACACTAATCAGCATACCCTTGAACCTCTCCCATGTTTCTTGTAGTGATTCTGTTGGTCTCTGCATAAAGCTCAATATATCATCAATTTGTTTGGCAATTTTATTGGGTGGGTAGAACTTGTTCAAAAATTTCTTGACTAATTCCTCCCAAGTAGTGATGGAGTTTATGGGGAGTGAACTAAGCCAAGTCTGAGCTTCTCCTGTCACCGAGAATGGAAACAAAAACAACTTTATTGCTTTCGGCGTCATATTAGGTTGCCTTTGCATGACACATATCGAAAAGAAATTCTTCAGGTACTGCTGAGGATCTTCAATGTATGACCCTGAGAACAGTCCCTTGTTCTGCAACAAATGTAGCATGTTTTGTGATTTGAAATGATTTTGCTCGTATCTGAGGGACTGCAATTTTGTTGCCAGATTGTCGGCAGTGGGTTGTGCCCAGTCATACAATGCTGCTTCTGGCACAAGAGGCACCACATCCTAATTGTTCGGGTCATTCGCATTGTTTCAGTTGTTTGGATTTTCTACTCCGTCATCCATGTCTGGTTCAATTTGTTCTGTTGAGTTCTATTGTTGTTTGCCCTTCTTGTTTGCAAGATTCAGTGCCTTGAAAACTTTCTCAGGATCTGATAATGCTTCGAACAATTCACCAGTTCTTGAGTACTTTCTAGGCATGCACCTGTAACACCCAAGGCAACAAAAGTTAGAATTTTAATTTATTTAGTTTAAAATGAAGAAAATTGACTACACTAAGAATTCTAGCACTTCTTTTAGCTGTAATTAATAAAACCGTTAACTCCCCGGCAACGGCGCTAAAATTTGATCACGCCCAACTATGCCTTATAAAAATGACTAAGCAGTCGTTCCAAATATATTTCGGTTAATAAGTCCGAAGTCGAATCCCACAGGGAATTAACCTATTAAACACAGCTACTAGACTCGCACAAATTCACGCAATCAATCATCAGAAATATTTAAGTAACAAATTTGATGTTTACTAACTAAATATCACATAATGAAAATGCAATAATTAATAACTAACTACGAATGGGTGGTAGACAAGAATTAGAATGATCTAAGGTTATGATTTCCCTTGCTGTCGCAATCCTTTCCGCTACATTTTCTATAAATTTGCCTAAGTCTTATCTACCGATCATCAGCGCTCTGAGTGTTGTAATTCTCTCCCGAGTAACTACCACAATTTACTAGACATATTTTCTAAATTACGCTAGTTGGCATTGAGTACGGCTCACTCGGATCACACCAAGGTTTCGTTATCCCTAATCCCACCTTTAAACCCTCTATATTGATCCCTCATATACGTTAGGAGTGATGTTGTTCAACAACTACCTAAATATTCACTCTCTCCTGAGTAATACACACTAAATAGGCATAGTCGATTGAGGGCCCTTCAATCAACAACAATAATAATATAGTTGAACAAATAGAGAAAATACTACGGCAAATCTATATTAACGTAATAGGAAAATCATCCTCCAATAGGTTCCATCAAAACCCTAGATTAGAAATTTAGCTACTCATACTCATAGTAACAATATCCCAAGTATTTTGCATAATTAAATTACAAAGTAAAGATGAAAGGATGTAGGAATCAATGATTCTAACTCCCAACGGGTGTTCAACGAGCTATTCTTACCTACGGTTGAAAAAGTCCTTCAAAAGTGGTGACTTAGGCCTAATTATATGTGTAGAAAAAGACCTAAATGTGTATTCTGATAACTAGAGACTATGATGCATTTTACACTCCTTCTTGCTTAAGTTTTGATTAGAAATGTGTACAAAATAGTTTCAGAGGCTCACAAGTTGTGCTTGATTGCAGGTTTGATCATCAAGGTGACAAAGTGTCAAAAACTAGCTCAAAAAGGAGTGAAACTTGCACAAGTACCAAGACAAGACAAAGCTCAGTCAAACAGGGCCAGTGCGGCCGCACACAATTCTGTGCGGTCCGCAGGGATGAAGTTCAGAGACTGTCTTTCAGGCCATCAGGCAATGCGGCCGCACTTGATTTCGTGCGGTACGCATTAGTTTCATCGCGGCCGCACTCAATTTCGTGCGGTCCGCAGACTCAAGGTTCAAAGAGATGGCAAATTGAAGAACTATGCCCAATGCGGTCCGCGGTCTATTTTGTGCGGACCGCAGTAGAAGCCACCGCGGCCGCGGTGCATTTTGTGCGGTCCGCGGTGGCCAAGCTTCAGAGAGCAGAAAAGTCAAGCCAAGAGCCTTAGTGCGGCCGCACTCGATTTTGTGCGGT